AAGATCAGGTGGAAAAGCATTCCAGGTAGAGGGAACAGCAAATGCAAAGGCCCTGAGCAAGAAGAACTTGAACATTCAAGGAACAGAAAAACCAGTGTGACTGGATTTGAATGCAAAGGGCAAGAGAGGTGAGAGGTGAGCGAGAGAGAGGAGGCCCTATCACATGCTGGGGAATCAGGGTACTGAGGCAGGAGTCTTTTCCAGTATAGTGAAAAGTCACTATGGCTGACAATGCTAATGATTGTAGCTAACATTTTTTGAGCCCTTAGGAAATGCCAAATACTTATTAAACCCTTTCAATGCATTAACTCATTTAATCCTCACAAGCAATCCTAAGAGGGAGGTGCTTGGATTATCCTCATCTTAAAGATGAGGAAACTGAGACCCAGAGGGGTTAGGCCACTGGCCAGTGAATTGCATGTAAGAGATAAAAATGATACAAAGATGAAGCCCAGATTTATCTGGGTACACAGCTGAGGCTAGAAAAGCCTTTTTTTCCTGTCCCTTTGATTGCTGGGAAGCCTCTCCTTCACTCTTCAAAGCCAGGAAGAGTGAGGCCAAGTGAAGTGGCTTACGCCTGTAATATCAGTATTTTGGGAAGCCAAGATGGGAGGATCTTTTGAGGCCAAGAGATTGAGACCAGCATGGGCAACATAGCGAGAAATATTTCAGCTAAGAAAACGAGAGGAAGCCTGGGCACAGTGGTTCACACCTGTAAACCCAGCACTTTGGTAGGTCAGCAGTTCGAGACCAGCCTGGCCAACATGGTGAAACACCATCTCTGCTAAAAACACAAAATAAGCCAGGCGTGGTGGTGTGCGCCTGTAATCCTAGCTACTCCGGAGACTGAGGCGGGAGAATCGCTTAGAACCCGGGAGGTGGAGGTTGCAGTGAGCCAAGATAGTGCCACTGCACTCCAGCCTAGGTGACAGAGTGAGACTCTGTCTCAAAAAAAAAAAAAAAAAAAAAAGAAGAAGAAGAAGAAAGGCCAGACGCGATGTAACACCAGCACTTTGGGAGGCCGAGGCGGGTAGATCTCTTGAGCTCAGGAGTTCAAGACCAGCCTGGGCAACATGGTGAAATCTCGTCTCTACGAAAAATACAAAAATTAGCTGGGTATGGTGGCACATACCTGTAGTCTCAGTTACTCAGGAGGCTGAGGTGGGAGGATCACCTGAGCCTGGGGAGGTTGAGGCTACAGTGAGCCATAACTGCACCACTGCACAGCAGTCTGGGCAACAGAATGACACCCTGTCTCAAAAAAGAGGGAAAAAAAGAAAGAAAATGAGAGAAAACAGCCAGGCATGGTGGTGCACACCTGTAGTCCCAGCTACTTGGGGGGCTGAGGCGGGAGGATCGCTTGAGCCCAGGAGTTGGAGATCAGCCTGAGCACATAGTGACACCCTGTCTTAAATAAATAAAATAAGGCCGGGCGCGGTGGCTCAAGCCTGTAATCCCAGCACTTTGGGAGGCCGAGATGGGTGGATCACGAGGTCAGGAGATTGAGACCATCCTGGCTAACACGGTGAAACCCCGTCTCTGCTAAAAAATACAAAAAACTAGCCGGGCGAGGTGGCGGGTGCCTGTACTCCCAGCTACTCAGGAGGCTGAGGCAGGAGAATGGCGTGAACCCGGGAGGCGGAGCTTGCAGTGAGCTGAGATCCGGCCACTACACTCCAGCCTGGGCAACAGAGCAAGACTCCGTCTCAAAAAAATAAAAATTAAAATAAATAAAATAATATTTTTTTGTTGTTAAAAAAAAGAAAGGGCCAGGTGCACTGGCTCATGCCTGTAATCCCAGCACTTTGGGAGGCCAAGGCGGGTGGACCACCCGAGGTCAGAAGTTCAAGACCAACCTGGCCAACACAGTGAAATCCTGCCTCTAAAAATACGAAAATTAGCTGGGCATTGTGGCGGTGCCTCTAGTCCCAGCTACTCGGGAAGCTTAGGCAAGAGAATCACTTGAACCTGGGAGGTGGAGTTGCAGTGAGCCGAGATCGTGCCACACTACACTCCAGCCTGGGCGAGAGCAAGACTCCACTGCACAAAAAAAAAAAAAAAAAAAGAAAGAAAGGAAAGAAAACTAACATCCACCAGGTTTTCTGCTTGAGCCAGGCTCTAGGAAGGTTACTAGAGTTCAAAGGAACACAGATACTTCCTCCTCTGGATACTCTTAACACTTTCTCTGTTCTCCCTCTCCACCTTTTCTGCTTTGTTTGCTCGTGGTATGTGCCCCTAATTAAGATAGCTAGCATTTATTTAGCACTAATGGTGTGTCATGTACCATGCCCATTTATTCTTGAAATAACCTTAAATTATTGTTTCCATTTTAGGGTGAGGAAATTGAAGCTCTGAGTGCCTAAGCAAGGGATCAATGTCACACACCTAAGAACTGACAACATGGGATGTAAACTCTTGTCTGTCAGACACAAGGGTCTAAGTACACAACTACTGGTCTATAATGCCCACTTTCCACTCTTCCATGAACACTCTACAGATTCCGTCATAGCAGCCACAGAACTGCTTCAACCTCTACTTCCTGTTAAAGAGGATTCATAATAGTGCCAATCTGACAGGTTGTTAAGGTTAAATAAATTACCTAGAATTCAGATGACCAGCTGTAAGGTTTGCCAGGTTTGAGTGGGTTCCCAGGAATGGTTTCAAAATGAGGATGGCTGGGTGTGTGGCTCACGCCTGTAATCCCAGCACTTTGGGAGCCCAAGGCAAGAGGATCACTTGGGCCCAGGAGTTCAAGATCAGCCTGGGCAACATGGTGAGACCCTGTCTCTACAAAAAAATACAAAACTTAGCTGGATGTGGTACTACCTGCCTGTAGTCCCAGCTACTCAGGAGGCTGAGGTGGGAAGATCACTTGAGCCCAAGAGGTGGAGGCTTCAGTGAGCCTTGATTGCACCACTGCACTCCAGCCTGCGCAATAGAGTGAGACCCTGTATCAAAACAAAACAAAACAAAAAGCCAGGCATGGTGGCACATACCTGTGGTTCGAGCTACTGGGGAGGCTGAGGTGGGAGGGTCATTTGAGCCTGGAAGGTCAAGGCTGCAGTGAGCCATGATCATGCCACTGCACTCCAGCCTGAGCAACAGAGCAAGACCCTGTCTCTAAAAAAATAAATAGGTGGCCGGGCACGGTGGCTCACGCCTGTAATCCCAGCACTTTGGGAGGCCAAGGCAGGTGGGTTGTCTGAGGTCGGGAGTTTGGGACCAGCCTGGCCAACATAATGAAATCACATCTCTACTAAAAATACAAAAAATTAGCCGGGCGTGGTTGTGGGCGCCTATAATCCCAGCTACTCGGGAGGCTGAGGCAGGAAATTGCTTGAACCTGGTAGGCGGAGGTTGCAGTGAGTCGAGATTGCGCCATTGCACTCCAGCCTGGGCAACAAGAGAGAAACTCTGTCTTAAATAAATAAATAAATAAATAAATAAATAAAAATAAATAGGCTGGGCATGATGGCTCACACCTGTAATCCCAGCACTTTGGGAGGCTAAGGCAGGCAGATCACTTGAGGGCAGGAGTTCGAGACCAGCCTGGCCAAAATGGCAAAACCCCGTCTCCACTAAAAATATAAAAATTAGCCAGGTGTGGTGGCACACGGCTGTAGTCCCAGCTACTTGGGAGGCTGAGGCAGGAGAATCCCTTGAACCCAGGAGGCAGAGGTTGCAGTGAGCCAAGATTGCACCACTGCACGGCAGCCTGGTGACAGAGCAAGACCCTGTCTCCAAAAAATAATTAATTAATTAATTAAATAAAAAAGGAAATGGAACTATTTTTGTGAATCTGTGGGTTATATCAGCAAAAAAAAAAAAAAAAAAAAAGACACAATGGGGAAAGTCCTAGGCAAATCAGGACGAGTTAGTCATCCTTCCTAGATGAGTGCTTGGTGCAAAATACATGCTCAGCAGACATGATTATTGCTTCCCCTTTCTTTCATCCATTTGGTAACAAACAGGTGGCAAGCACCCACTCTGTGCCCTGTCCTAGGGTCCAGGAACCCTGTAAGCAATAGGTGGAGGTGAGGGTGGGGGCAGGGGTGCTGTTCAAAGCACCTTGCTCCAAAGGTTCATTAAAAAATCCACCAATGGATTATCTGAGATCAGGAGTTGGAGATCAACCTGACCAATATGGTGAAACCTCATCTCTTCTAAAAATACAAAAATTAGGCGGGAGTGGTGGTGGGCACCTATAGTCCCAGCTACTCAGGAGGCTGAGACAAGAGAATTGCTTGGACCCAGGAGGTGGAGGTTGCAGTGAGCCGAGATCATGCCACTGCACTCCAGCCTGGGCGGCAGAGTGAGACTCCACCTCAAAAAAAAAAAAAAAAATCCACCAGCCATAAGAAATGGCAGACCTCCCTCTGGAGTGATTTCAGCCGGTGTGGTATGTTCCTGGGCTGACAGCACTTGCCTAGACTTGCTTTTCCAAGTGGGAAAGGTCTCTGGGACCTTAAGGTCCCCAGATGGTGACACAGAGACAGGTAGGGGGGCCCATAGCAAAGCCAGGCAGGAGGTCCTGAGATGATTGTGGGTGGCAGGGAAGGAAAAAATATTCCTTGACTTTGTGCCTGGACCTGGTTGCAATAAAGGCTCAAGAGGTAGCTCCTATCATCGTGCACATTTCGCTGAAGGAAGAAACTGAGGGTCAGTGACCCAAGTGAAGTGACTTGCCCAAGATCCTGCAGGAAGACATGGGTAATTGTAATTTGAACCAAGGTCCCAGCAAAGCGGGATTGTTGGGGCTGAATGGGAGGGCTCCTGCACTTCCTTCCCTCTCCCTGGGCTTGGGTCCCCCACTTGTCCAGACAGCGGCCGGACTTGTCACGGGGCTCTGTACAGCCTTTTCCACTCTCCTGGCTGCCAGCGTCCCGCCCCGTCCCCTCCCAGCCCCCAAGGGAGGAGGGGAGAGCTGCAGAGAGGAGGAGGAGGGGTCGGGGAGGCCCGGCTTTATAAAGGCGGCTGGAACAGCCCTGCCCGCCAGACCCCGTCGCCCGGATACCTTGAGCTGCCCGCCACCCCACGTGACCGCGCCGTCCCCCAGCTCCACCGCTGAGTGAGTTGGGGCGCGTCCCCATCCCGTCCACAGTCCCTCGCCGAGCCGCGTGGTGCACTGAAGCCGGGGTGGGGAGGAGAGCCGATGAAGGAGAACGCTAACATGGGGGGCTCCAGGCAGACTCTCTAACGGGAAAGATTTAGGACCTGAGGGAGCCGGGAGACCCGGGAGCCCACGGTCTGGTCGGCCACCTCGTCTCCTCCCCGGGCGCGAGGCCTAGGAGACCGCAAGCCACCCTCCAGGAATGCGCGTGCAGTCGTTGCCGTGGCAACGTGCAAGCCTGCGCGAGCCCACCGCTAAAGGAAAGGGGAGGTTGTTGGGGGTGTGGGGACTGGTCCCCTGGAGGTCCAAACTCATCACGCGGCGGTAGCACGAGGGAACTGGGGACGTCCCCTCCCCCGTGTCCCAAATCCTCTGGGAGCCAGAACGCAAGTCGCATTGCCTCTCTGAGCCTCAGTTTCCACATCTGCCAAATGAAGGCAAGATTATTGGTTCCAAGTTCCCCGAAGAGTTATCTGGAGGGCCACGATCCAGGCTAGTCCCCACTTATGGCTGGACGTCCAAGGAATGGGTTTAAGCGGCTCAGATAACTCCTGCGACCCCACCCCACCCCCAGGCCCGCTCGCCATGGCCCTCTTCGGGGCTCTCTTCCTGGCGCTGCTGGCAGGCGCTCACGCAGAGTTCCCAGGCTGCAAGATCCGCGTCACCTCCAAGGCGCTGGAGCTGGGTAAGGCGCAGGGGCAGACAGGGACGGACGGGAGCGGACGGGGTTGGGGTCGCCCCAGTGGGCACGGGAGCTAAGGGTTTCGCTGCTGCCTCAGTGAAGCAAGAGGGACTGCGCTTTCTGGAACAAGAGCTGGAGACCATCACCATTCCGGACCTGCGGGGCAAAGAAGGCCACTTCTACTACAACATCTCTGAGTAAGTGGGGGGCGGGGCCTCGCGATCCGGGGCGGGGCCTCGGCGGTGGAGGCGGGGCCCAAGAAATCTCGGGGTCTCGGGAGACTGGAGGCTGAGTGGGAGGGGGCGTGGCCAAATCGATGAGGCACGATTTAAGAAACCGGATGGGGCCGAAAAGATAAAGGCCAAGCCAGCCATTATAGGCGGGACCGGGCAGATGGGCGTGGCTTTGAAAACGTCGAGGGGGCCAGGAAGGAAGCAGGACCGGTAGATGTGAGGCGTGGCCGAAGAGCACCAGAAAGGTGGAGTCAAGGAACTTGCCAATAGATGAGAGTGGAGTCTTGGGCACAGGGTGGAGATAATGGGAGGGGTGGGGGAACTGAAGACTCTAAGTATGGTTTAGGATGAGGGAGGGGGAATAAGGGAATTGAGATATGAGGGCGGAGCTTAGGTGATGGAGGCAAAGTGAATGGACTCTATTAAAAGACCGGGTGAGGGAACCCCAGGGTGTGGGAGGGGAGGGGGTGCAAGCAAACAAGACTTTTTTTTTTTCTGAGAGGGAGTCTTGCTTTGTTGCCCAGGCTGGAGTGCAGTGGCGCGATCTTGGCTCACTGCGACTTCCGCATCCCCAGCTCAAGTGATTCTCCTGCCTTGGCCTCCCGAGTAGCTATGACTACAGGCGCGTGCCACCACGCTCTGCTAAGTTTTGTATTTTTAGTAAAGACAGGGGTTTCACTATGTTGGCTAGACTTTCGAACTCCTGACCTCACGTGATTTGCCCGCCTCGGCCTCCCAAAGTGCTGGGATTACAGGCATGAGCCACCACGCCCGGCAAACAAACAAACAAGACTTCTAAGTGATGGGGTGAAGCTCCCTTTTAACACCTGCATCAGGAAGACCTCATCTCTCAGCCACCCAAGTCTAAGTTGGGTACTTGAGGGACAATGGAAGAATTCATTCTACCACTCCCGCTTCCCCAGACCTGGACTTGAAAGGGGAGCAGACAAATTTCCTGTGGTTGGGGGGAGTTCCCTCTTCTTGGCCCTGGATCTGACCCTGAGGCCTCCCGTAGGGTGAAGGTCACAGAGCTGCAGCTGACATCTTCCGAGCTCGATTTCCAGCCACAGCAGGAGCTGATGCTACAAATCACCAACGCCTCCTTGGGGCTGCGCTTCCGGAGACAGCTGCTCTACTGGTTCTTGTAAGGACCCAGCACCCTCAGGGGAGTGGAGAGTTGGTAGGGAGGGCTGGAAGTGCTGTGGGGCTGTGGGCAGCCCCCTTAGCCTTCCTGAGTTTAAGTTTCTTCATCTGTATAATGGGGACAAGCATACCCATTTCATAAGAGTTGATAGGAGGGTTTGGTAGGATGTGTGGAAGGAAGTGAAACCTTATTAGGAGGTATCATGATGCAAGGGGCACTGAAGACTCAACTGAGCTCCTACCTGGAGTGAATATTAACCCCCTTGGCAGCTATGATGGTGGCTACATCAACGCCTCAGCTGAGGGTGTGTCCATCCGCACTGGTCTGGAGCTCTCCCGGGATCCTGCTGGACGGATGAAAGTGTCCAATGTCTCCTGCCAGGCCTCTGTCTCCAGAATGCACGCCGCCTTCGGGGGAACCTTCAAGTAAGCCCCAGCCCCAACCCCAGCTTACCCCTTTTGAGCCCCACAGCTCATCTGCCTAGCACAATGCAAAGTGCACAGGCTTGGGAATCAGACCAACTGTGTCCAAAGCTCAGCTCTGTCACTTCCTGGCTGTGTGAACTTGGCCACATCGCTGAAGCTCGGTGCCTCAATATCCTCATTGGTAACATGGGGATAATGATAAAGCCTATTTTATAAGGTCATTGCCAGGATTATTTGTGTTGGTATATGTAAAAATATTTAGAACAAGGCTGGGTGCGGTGGCTCACGCCTGTAATCCCAGCAATTTGGGAGGTCAAGGCGGGCGAGTCATGAGGTCAACAGATCGAGGCCATCCTGGCCAACATGGTGAAACCCTGTCTCTACTAAAAATACAAAAATTAGCTGAGTGTGGTGGCACATGCCTGTAGTCCCAGCTGCATGGGAGGCTGAGGTAGGAGAATCACTTGAACCCGGGAGGCGGAGTTTGCAGTGAGCCGAGATTGTGCTACTGCACTCTGGCCTGGCGACAGAGCAAGACTCCATCTCAAAAAAAAAAAAAAAATTTTAGAACAGCACCTGGCATATGATAAATGCATATTTAAGTGCTGGCCACTTAGATAAGAGTAATTGTGAGGACTAATATGCACAGCTGGCCATGTACTGGATTCTCAATAATTGGTGTCTCTAAATAATAATAACAAAAATAATACTTTTTTTTTTTTGAGATGGAGTCTTGTTCTGTCACCAGGCTAGAGTGCAGTGGCACAATCTTGGCTCACTGCAACCTCCGCCTCCCGGGTTCAAGTGATTCTCCTGCCTAAGCCTCCCAAGTAGCTGGGACTACAGGCATGCGCCACCATGCCCAGCTACTTTTTCTGTATTTTTAGTAGAGACAGGGTTTTGCCATATTGGCCAAGTTGGTCTCAAACTCCTGACCTCAGGTGGTCCGCCTGCCTCGGCCTACCAAAGTGCTGGGATTACAGGTGTGAGCCACTGTGCCTGGCCTATTTTTTTATTTTTGCCGCTGAGAAGGGGATACTGTTCTTGTTCTGGAAGACAGTTGGGGAAAGAAGATGATGGATTATTGCCTGGTGTTGGTATACTGTCAGTATTATTTATTCATCAAAGTGTATGCCAGGCCCTGAGGATGCAGGAAGAAGCTCAGAGCCTATCTGGAATAAAAAGCATTTGTTATCAGGGCCTGGAGAGAAGGACTAAGAAAGTGCTTTGGGGATTCAGAGGAGAGGAATCTGGGAAGACTGCCTGGAAGAGGAAGCATCTGAGCTCAGATGGGGAAATACAGGGTAGGAACGCAGAGGGTGGAAGGGTTGTAAGCGGATCAGTAAGCGGATGGATGTGGGGATGCTCAGAGCGGGTTTGAGGCAATGTGGGTGGATTCATTTGGCTGATGGGACCAGCGGGAGGTCTTGAGAATTATGCTGGAGAGGGAATTCGGGCCTGGTTCTTGGAAAACCTATGTGGAGGACCTGTTATTCAGGCTGATGCTGAGGAATCCCACTGCCACTATTTCCCTGGTCTCTGATTTCTCCTGGACCTGGACTGGGGTGGAGGCAGGTTCTGGGCTCACCCGGCCTCTCCTTTCCTCACAGGAAGGTGTATGATTTTCTCTCCACGTTCATCACCTCAGGGATGCGCTTCCTCCTCAACCAGCAGGTGTGGGCAGTGACAGGTCGCAGGGTGGCAAGGGTGGGCCTGGTCTCACTTTGAGAAGGCCCTGACTCTGGCTCCCACCTCGCAGATCTGCCCCGTACTCTACCATGCAGGGACGGTCCTGCTCAACGCCCTCCTGGACACCGTGCCTGGTGAGTTGGTTGGGGGTGAGGCCAGGTGTGCAGCTGTCATGCAGCACCTCAGAGCAGGCCCCTTCCAAGCCCTGCTGTCAAACAGTCCTGGGTTCAAATGTGGCCCCTGGAGCTGACTTGCTGTGTGATTTTGGGTAAAGTGCTCATTTCTCTCTGGGCAAAGTGCTTGTTTCCTCACTTGCCTGGCAGCGCTTCCTCCTGGAGTTACTGTGAGGATTATCTGAGAGAATAGTTGTCAAGGTCCTCATTATGTGCGTGCTAATCACTGGTGTCCCATTTGTCTTCATCACCTAGCACCTAATAGGTGCTCAATTAACATGAATACATTAATTCCCTTTTTCCCTTTTTTTTTTTTTTTTTTTTTTGTTGAGATGGAGTCACTCTGTTGCCAGGCTGGAGTCCAGTGGCGCGATCTCAGCTCACTGCAGTCTCCATCTCCCGGGTTCAAGCGATTCCCCTGCCTTGGCATCCCGAGTAGCTGGGACTACAGGCGTGCACCACCATGCCCGACTAAGTTTTTGTATTTTAGTAGAGACAGGCTTTCACCACGTTGGCCGGGATGGTCTCAATCTCCTGACCTCGTGATCCGCCCACCTTGGCCTCCCAAAGTGCTGGGATTACAGGCATGAGCCACTGAGCCTGGCCATGAATTCCCTTTTTCTAAGCCATGACCTCTGTCTACTGTGGGGCAAAGTTATTGTCCCATCACACCCAACACACAGGCAGGGGAAGAGAAGGAGGAGGTAGGAGAAACCAAGGGAAAGGAACCCCATGCCATCTTTTTTTTCTTTCTTTTTTTTTTTTTTTTTTGAGATGGAGTCTCACTCTGTCACCCAGGCTGGAGTACAGTGGTGCAATCCTGGCTCCCTACAACCTCCACCTCCCAGATTCAAGCGATTCTCCTGCCTCAGCCTCCCGAGTAGCTGGGATTACAGGCGCCCACCACCACGCCCAGCTAATTTTTGTATTTTTAGTAGAGACGGGGTTTCACCATGGTGGACCAGGCTGGTCTCGAATGCCTGACCTCAGGTGATCTGCCTGCCTTGGCCTCCCTAAGTGCTGGGATTACAGGTGTGAGCCACTGTGCGCGGCGCCCCCATGCCATCTTTTTAGTGATTTGATGAAACCTCTGTGGTAGTAGTAATAATAATAACTAACATTAATGGGCACTTACTACACAGCAGGCCCTAAGTGCTTTCCACATAAAACTAATTTGACCCTCCTGACAACCCTGCGAGGGATGTATCCTCATTTTATGGGTGGGACTCTGAGCCTGGAGAGGTTAAGCACCTTGTCCCACATCACACAGCTGTGAGTGACTTGAGCCTCTTCCTGCAGTGCGCAGTTCTGTGGATGAGCTTGTTGGCATTGACTATTCCCTCATGAAGGATCCTGTGGCTTCCACCAGCAACCTGGACATGGACTTCCGGGTGAGCTGCTCGGGCTGGTGTATGACCTCTGACCTCCTAACAGGACCGCTTTCTCCGCTAAGTTGTGAGATTTTACTTCCTAAAGCACAGCTCTGATGAGGCCACTCTCATTGCTGAGAATGCTATGGCTCCCTATTACTACAGAATTAGGTTCAGCCTCCTGGGTCTGGTATTTGAGCCCTGTTAATCTTACCTGGCCCCACCTTTTATATCTCATCCTGTTTCTTTGCAGCTGCTCTTTCCCAAATTGGACCCTCGCTTCCCAGCTCAGGGCCTTTGCTCATGCACGGTCTTTCCCCAACTCCCCTGAAGGAGCTGGACACAAATTTCTACACAAATCATCTCATTTCATTCTCTCACAACCCTGTGAGTCAGGTACTAACATCATCCTCATTTTAGGAATGTGGAGACTTACTTATAGAGGTGACATCACTTGCCCAAGGCCACGTAGCTAGTGTGTAGCCACTACCTTTGGTCTCCCAGAGTAGTATAGCAGTTTCAGAGTACAGACTTGGGAGCTAGAATCAGTCGGGTGCAGTGGCTCATGCCTGTAATCCCAATACTTTGGGAGACCCAGGCCAGAGGATCGCTTGAGCCCAGGAGTTTGAGACCGGCTGGGGCATCATAGTGAGACCTCCTTCTCTACAAAAAGAAAAAGAATGCCTGAAGTTCAAATCCTAGCTCTGCCACTGACTAGCTGCATGGCCCTAAGCATAACTTTTCAGTTGGCCAGTTTCCTAACATGTAAATGGAAATAATCTAGTAAGAAAGCACACATAGTTAATGCAGAGTAAAGGAGTTGATCTATGTGAAGAGCTTACAGTACTTGGCACAGAAGCATGAGTATGCACACTATATGTAAATAGTAGCTGTTGTTACTGCCTCTGGCTTTCAAGACCCACTCAGATGCCACCTCTTCCATGAAACCTTTCCTGACCCTCCCTCTTCCAGTGTGACGGGCTCGCCCCCTGATAGCAGGTGTCCTCCTTTCAATGCCTTTTAAGAGATGTGCTTGTGAGTGCCCCAAGAACAGCAGCTGGGTTCCCACTGTCTCCCCACAGTGCCTAGCACAGGGCTGGGAGACACCTGCTGTCAGTCCAGGTGCCAGGCCAGTCTGCCTTGACCCTGACCATGAATGCCCCACCCCAGGGGGCCTTCTTCCCCCTGACCGAGAGGAACTGGAGCCTCCCCAACCGGGCGGTGGAGCCCCAGCTGCAGGAGGAGGAGCGGATGGTGTATGTGGCCTTCTCTGAGTTCTTCTTCGACTCTGCCATGGAGAGCTACTTCCGGGCGGGGGCCCTGCAACTGTCGCTGGTGGGGGACAAGGTATGCCAGGGCCTGTGTGTGGGATGGGCAAAAGAGGGTCTGTGACAGAGCTCACTCCCTCACTCCTGATTCCCCTGTTCAGGTGCCCCATGACCTGGACATACTGCTGAGGGCCACCTACTTTGGGAGCATTGTCCTGCTGGTGAGTGCTGGCGGGGGACAGGGATAGGGCCACCTGCACACCAGTGAGACCAGGGAGGGGTGCAGGCGGGGCCCCCAGTGGCAGCCACTCAGACAGGGCTCTGGCCTCTTGTCTTTGGCCAATCGCCCTCGCCTTGTCGTGGCTGTTCCGTCTGTGAAGAAGGCTTCCCCTTCCTGCTCCTTCCTGCCCTATCTCCTTCGCAGAGCTGCTGTGAGGATTAGCGAGAACCCACGCTTTGCAAGTGTGAGGGCTTTAATAATAATTAACATATACTATTGTTTATTTGTGTATTGGGGAGGAGAGTGTTACACATTTTATTTATTTATTTTTTTGAGACAGTGTCTCACTTTGTCATCCAAGTTGGAATGCAGTGGCACAATCTAGGCTCACTGCAACCTCTGCCTCCCAGGGCTCAAGCTGTTCTCCTGCTTCAGCCTCTTGACTAGCTGGAATTACAGGCTTGTGCTACCACGCCCCACTAATTTTTAAAATTTTGTTGAGACAGGGTTTCATCATGTTGCTCAGGCTGGTCTTGAACTCCTGGGCTCAAGTGGTCACCCATCTTGGCCTCCCAAAGTGCTGGGATTACAGGTGTGAGCCACTGCGCCCAGCAAAATTACAAATTTTAGAAGAAATAATTCAGTCATTATCATCATCAAATTCATGGCTAAGAAATTAAGGGCAGGGTCTCTATTGTCAGACTGCCTGGGCTTCAAGCCTAGTTCTGAAACTGAATGACTGCATAACCTCTACAAGTTACTTAACCTCTCTGTGCCTCAATTTTCCCATCTCAGAAATGGGGATATGGCTGGGCATGATGGCTTATGCCTATACTCTGAGCACTTTGAGAGGTCAAGGTAGGAAAATTGCTTGAGCCCAGGAGTTTGAGACCAGCCTGGGCAACATAGTGAGACCCTGTCTCTATTGAAAAATAAATTTTTAGTCAGATCTTTTTTTTTTGGGTCGGGGGACAGAGTCTCACTCTGTCACCCAGGCTGGAGTGCAGTGGCACAATCTTGGCTCACTGCAACCTCTGCCTCCTGGGTTCAAGCAATTCTCTGCCATGACACCCAGCCTGAAAAATAAATTTGTGAAAAATAAATTTGTAAAAAATAAACAACAACAACAAAATTGGCAGTAATATCTGCCTCACGTGGTTATTATGAGTTTTGTTTTGTTTTGTTTTGTTTTTTGTGAAATGGAGTCTCTCTCTGTCACCCAGGCTGGAGTGCAATGGCGTGATCTCGGCTTCCTGCAAGCTCCACCTCCCGGGTTCACACCTCAGCCTCCCCAGTAGCTGGGACTACAGGTGCCCGCCACCATGCCTGGCTAATTTTTTGTATTTTTAGTAGAGACGGGGTTTCACCGTGGTCTTGATCTCCTGACCTTGTGATCTGCCCGCCTCAGCCTTCCAAAGTGCTGGTATTACAGGCGTGAGCCACCGTGCCCGGTCCTTGTGAGGTTTAAAGGAGCCAACACATATACAGTGTTTAGAATCATGTTTGGTGAAGATTAGGCAAGTTGCATCTTATAGTATTCCTTCACTGCCTATAGAAGAAAGCATAGCAGTTTAGAGAAAGAAGATATGGCCAGGCATGGTGGCTCACGCCTGTAATCCCAACACTCTGGGAGGCTGAAGCCGGCAGATCGCTTGAGCCCAGGAGTGTGAGACCAGCATGGGCAACATGGCCAAACCCCATCTCTACAAAAAAACAAAAGCAAAAACAAAATACAAATACAAAAATAAGCCTGGCATGGTGGCATGAACCTGTGGTCTCAGCTGTTCAGGAGGCTGATGTGGCAGGATCACTTGAGCTGAGGAGGTTGAGGCTGCAGTGAGCCATGATCATGGCACTGCACTCCAGCCTGGGCGACAGAGACTCTGTCTCAAAAAAAAAAAAAAAAAAAAAAAAAAAAAAAAAAAAAAGGAGAGAGAAAGCAAAAATATGGCAAGTGGTCTGGGCATGGTGGCTCATGCCTGTAATCCCAACACTTTGGGAGGCCGAAGTGGGCGAATCACCTGAAGTCAGGAGTTTGAGACCAGCCTGGCCAACGTGGTGAAACCCCGTTTCTGCTAAAAATACAAAACTTAGCTGGGCATGGCGGCAGGCGCCTGTAATCCCAGCTACTTGGGAGACTGAGGCGGGAGAATCGCCTGAACCTGGGAGACAGAGTTGCAGTGAGCCGATATCGTGCCACTGCACTCCAGCCTGGGCAACAGAGTGACACTCCGTATCCAAAACAGAAGACATGGCAAGGGGCAGAGATACTAATGCAAAAAGGACATCCACGAAGAGTCTGGATTGGTGATGGGCCTGAATATTGAGATGTATTTAGGAAGCAGAAAGAGAAGAATACATTGCTGTTTCTTTGTGTGGCAATGGCATGAAGGCTAGATGCAGATTTGAGGGTTTTGGAAGCCAGAGCTGTCTCTGTATTTGCAATATGAGAGTCCCCAGAGGCAGAAGCTGCACCTGCCTTCGTCCTCTTCTTCCCTGGGGGCTCCACAGGAAACAGCAGGGACTTGACCCGCCCCTGCTGCTTATCCCCCAGAGCCCAGCAGTGATTGACTCCCCACTGAAGCTGGAGCTGCGGGTCCTGGCCCCACCACGCTGCACCATCAAGCCCTCTGGCACCACCGTCTCTGTCACTGCTAGCGTCACCATCGCCCTGGTCCCACCCGACAAGCCTGAGGTCCAGCTGTCCAGCATGACTATGGTATGGGTCCTGGAGTGGGGGCTGCTAGCTGGGGGTCAGGGAAAAATGGACTGTGGGTTACTGACCTTCTGGGTAACATCCTCCTCCCCATGTTCCTGCAGGACGCCCGTCTCAGCGCCAAGATGGCTCTCCGGGGGAAGGCCCTGCGCACACAGCTGGACCTGCGCAGGTATGCAGGCGCACCTCAGTGTCTTGAGGACAATCACACCTGTCCACAGGGATGTTGAGTTAAAATTCGTTCATACCTATAAGTCACTGAGAGCTGGGGTCTATCTTTGTTAATGCATGCTAAAGTGCTTTGGTAAAATCTAACTCCTCTGCATTCTCACATGTCCCAGAGGCAGGCAGGGCAGGTATTATGAGAGATGAACAAATGGGTCCAGCAATGTTAAATAACATGCCCACAGTCACACAGCAAAGATCAGAACATGGGTTTTGACAAAAACCTCAGCACAACACGGCTTTGTGACCTTGAGGCCATTTTATCTTTCTTTTTGAAAAATGTTATTTTATTTTATTGTTTTTTTTTTTTGAGGAGTTTCGCTCTTGTTGCCCAGGCTGGAGTGCAATAGCGTGATCTTGGCTCACTGCAACCTCTGCCTCCCAGGTTTAGGCAATTCTTCTGCCTCTGCTTCCTGAGTAGCTGGGATTACAAGTGTGCGCCACCACGCCCGGCTAATTTTTGCATTTTTAGTAGAGATGGGGTTTCATCATGTTGGTCAGGCTGGTCTCGAACTCCTGACCTTAGGTGATTCACCTGCCCCAGCCTCCCAAAGTGCTGGGATTATAGGTATGAGCCACTGCGCTCGGCCTTATTTTATTTTTATTGTATTTATTTATTTTTGAGACGGAGTCTCACTCTGTTGCCCAGGCTGGAGTGCAGTGTTGCAATAATAGCTGACTGCAGCCTTGACCTCCTGGGTTCAAGTAATCCTCCAGCCTCAGCCTCTCGAGTAACTGGGACTACATGCATGCACCACCATGGCTGACTATTTTATTTTTTGTAGAGACAGGGTCTCACTTTGTTGCCCAGGCTGGTCTCCAATTCTTGGGGCTCAAGTGATTGTCCCACCTCAGCCTCCCAAAGTGCTGGGATTATAGCCATGAGCCACCGCACCCAGCCCATTTTGTCTTTCTAGGCCTCATTTTCTCCATGTGTTTAATACAGGTAAAAGTAGCGTCTGCCTTTTAGGGCTGTGCTGTCCAATATGGTAGATACTAACCACATGTGACTATTTACATTTAAATTAATTATAATTAAAGTTTTTCAGTTGTACTAAGCCACATTTCATTAGCCACATGTGGCTAGTGACTACCACAGTGGACAATGCAGATACAAAACATTTTATAGAAAATCTGACTGGACAGTGCTGTTCTAAGGTTAAAGGAGATAATGTAGGTTAGGACCCTAGATTTTAGAGGCAAGTTCTGACACTTCCCAGCTGTGTGACTTCAGGCAAATTACGTAACCTTGTGGGGCCTCATTTTCCTCATCTATAAAGTACAAATCGTAATAGTGCCCACTCCTTAGGCTTGTTATGAGGACTGAACCAGTTGGTACTGTATTTTAAAAGTTTACTAATATTACCTTTTTTTTTCTTTTTTTTTGAGACAGAGTCTCGCTCTGTCGCCCAGGCTGGAGTGCAGTGGTACAATCTCGGCTCACTACAAGCTCCGCCTCCCGGGTTCACGCCATTCTCCTGCCTCAGCCTCCCGAGTAGCTGGGACTACAGGCGCCCACCACCACACCCGGCTAATTTTTGTTGTATTTTTTAGTAGAGACGGGGTTTCACTATGTTAGCCAGGATGGTCTTGATCTCCTGACCTTGTGATCCACCCGCCTCGGCCTCCCAAAATGCTGGGATTACAGGCACGAGCGACCGCGCCCAACCTACTAATATTAACTTTTTAAACATGTTGGCTGAGTGCAGTGGCTCACACCTGTGATCTCAACACTTTGGGAGACCAAGGCAGGTAGATCACTTGAGGCCAGGAGTTCGATACCAGCCGGAGCTACAAAGTGAGATCCCGTCTCCACAAAAAAATTTACAAGTTAGCCAGTCATGGTGATGCACGCCTGCGGTCCCAGCTACTTGGGAGCCTGAGGTGGGAGGCTGACTTGAGCCCTGGAGGTCAAAGCCACTGCGAGTTAAATTGCACCACTGCCCTCCAGCCTGGGCAACACAGTGAGACGCTGTCTCAAAAATAAATAAAAAGAAAAAAAGAAAATAAATACGCTTAGTGTCTGACAGGAACTAAGCAATGTGAGTTTTGTTACATAAAATAAATAACACCTGCAAAGCTACCAGCAGAAGTCTGGCACATTAGAAGTGCTCAATAAATAAAAAGTAGCAGCCTTGGAGAAAAGGAAACCCAAGTGGCAGCCATAACTGGCCTGAGGATACTTGGAAAGTTGTAGCACCTGGAAAGGTGCCTACGTGGGGCATCTGAGCCTGCAACTCAGGCACCTCTGGCAGGTAGGCCTGGGTGGTCTGAGGAAGGGGAGCTACCAGGCTTCCTGCCCACAGGGCTTCTTTCTCTCCCGCAGGTTCCGAATCTATTCCAACCATTCTGCACTGGAGTCGCTGGCTGTGAGTGGGGAAGGGTGGGTAGGCTGGGCTGGGTTCGTGAGATCCTGACCCTCACCATTCCCTCCTCATATAACTGCTCACCCATGGGCAACTAAACCCACCCCTGACTGGCTGCCCTGTTTCCCCCCTTGCCCCCCCAGCTGATCCCCTTACAGGCCCCTCTGAAGACCATGCTGCAGATCGGGGTGATGCCCATGCTCAACGGTAAGGCTGGGGTGTGAGGACGGAGGAAGAAAGGAGGGGTGAACTGGGCGGGCCCAGACTGAGCGGGGTGCTCCCACCCACAGAGCGGACCTGGCGTGGGGTGCAGATCCCACTACCTGAGGGCATCAACTTTGTGCGTGAAGTGGTGACGAACCATGCGGTGAGTAGGGGCAGGATGGGGAAGGAGGGCAGGGCCTTCCCCTCTCTCTATAGTTCCCCAGTGCCCTCCACTACCTGACCCCAGCTCCCCCATTACCAGCCGTCCCCTCCCGTTTTAATCTTAGACTCCTAAAAGCCTTTGCACACACGGTGACTCCTCCTTGGAGCACTCTTCTCCCATCCCAATACCTACTAACCGTTCAGGTCTTAGCTCAGAGGTCACCTTCTCCAAGAAGCCCTCCTTGACACCCATAGTCTACACTCCTACAACCTCATTTTAGCACCTTGACATGGAATTATCCATTAGATTGAGTCCCTGAAAGACAAAGACTCTGTCTCTTGATCTCTAAACGCTGGCCTCAGTAACTGAATGAATAAATGAGGCTCCCCTGTCCCCCACACAGGGCTTCCTCACCATCGGGGCTGATCTCCACTTTGCCAAAGGGCTGCGAGAGGTGATTGAGAAGAACCGGCCTGCCGACATCGGGGCGTCCACTGCCCCCACACCCTCCACAGCAGCTGTGTGAGCCCCCAACCCCCACGCTGGCAGCTGTCATTCAGGACTCCAACTCCTCTCAGCCCCTCTTTTCCCACATTCATAGCCTGTAGTGCCCCCTCTAACCCCCAGTGCCACAGAGAAGACGGGGTTTGAAGCTGTACCCAATTTAATTCCATAATCAGTCAATCCATCAATTACAGTCCGTCCACCACCTCCCTGTGGGCTGTCCTGAGCTCTGTTGGGTTCCTGGGATGGGATCAGTGCATCGTAAAGGGCATTCTTTAAGCAGAGAGGGGGCCAGGCCACCCCATTCAGGAACTGTTATGGGAATAAAGTGCTCACTTGCCCCCAGGCTGTCTGTGGGAGACCCTGGCCCAGTCTGGGATGCACAGGGCTGTGGGAAGGGGGCAGTCCTGAAGGCAGAACCTGGCCTGTAGGGGCACTTTGCTTAGAAGAAGACTCTCCTAGCAGGAGTGGCTGGGAGGGGCTGCATCAGGCCGTGGAGCTGGTTGCTGTGGTCCTCAGTATGGCTGCTTGTTCAGGAAGCGGGAGAACATGGTGAAGGCAGCGAGGGGCTTGTCGGTGGGAACCATGTGGCCGGCGCCCTGAGGAGCAATGTTCGTGAGCTCCTGACCCCCACCATTCCCTCCTCCCCATATAACTGCTCACCCGTGGGGAATTCCTTCATCCCAAGCCCTTTATTCTTCCCAGAACCTTCCCCACTCCTCTCTAAAAAAGCTTGCCCATACAGGGGCCAGATGGTGACCCATGACCCAGCCTAAAAGGCAGCCAGAGGGAAAGGACGGGTGGGTCCTGCTCCTTCGCCTCCGGCCCAGTTATCCCTCAGCAGGCCCAGTCCCTACCTTGATCGTGAGAAAGGCGATGTGGGAGAACTCCTTCACAAAACCGGCAATCTGCTCCCCGCTGTCCCCATACTTCACTAACCAGGGCCTGCGCTGCACCTCCATCTGCCCCATCAGGAAAGACATCAGCCTACAGCAGCTGCATCCTTGCTCACAGCTACCAGCAAGACCTTAGGGCTGGGAATTCCTCCACACTTGCCCTCTGTGGACCAGAGCCAGGTAGCCAGCCAGCCACTCCCAGGCATACCCGCCCCTGATCCTCCACAGCAGCCCCTATCCAGGGCCAGGAATCTCTGTCTTACCTTCTGGTTGAGGGAATCCACAAACCACTCATCCCCCATGAAATTGCAGGCCATGTCTACATCTCCATTATATAACAGGATCTGGTATTTCTAAAGCAGGACGGGGTGAAAATGAGTGGTGTGGAACAAGCCCAGGCTTTAGCCCTTCCCTAGTTCAAGGCCTACCCCTCAGGGAATTCAAGGGGCCGAGCCAGATAGCACGAACCAGGGAATTCTCATGTTTTCTGATGACTTACTGCATGTCCAGTATTCTACTAAATGTTTTACCTATGAGGTAGATACCATTATCCCCATTTTACAGATGGGGAACCTGAGGCTCATATTTAAGATTGGCCAGTGTATCCGCATTTGGACCGGCAAGATTATCCTGGTGGTCTACTAAAATACAAAAACAGGGCGTGGTGGGGGGGCAGTACTGGGAGGGGGGGGAATGGGTGGGAGGGGGGGAGGAGATAGTGCCCAGTGGAACAAGATTAAAAAAAAAAAAAAAAAAAAAAAAAATGTTCTAGTACAGGGACTTGCACCCAGGCCATGTGACTCCAGAGCCCATGCTATGAACCACTGTGCTGGACAGAACCCGGTCCTAACCTGGCTCTGCCAGTGCCTCCTATATCACCTTGGACAAGGTCTCCTCCCACCCTGGACCTCAGCTAGCCCATTTTTGGCATGAATGAAGCTCTTCTCACCCTTAAGGCTCCTTGGCTGATCCAGACCACTTGGCCTCCTATAGCAGTGCAGCATGGGTGGGGACAAACCCAGGTTCAAATTCTGACCCCACCAGTCACAGTACCCTGGGCTTCACCTTTTGGAGTTTCAGCTTCCCTTGTCCTGACAGGAAGTCTAAAGGGTCCCCAGCTTGCTGTGCTACTCTGGGGTCCTAAGGCTGCTGGTGGATCCAGCTGTGCTGTCCCCACTCACCTGTGAACTAAGCAGCTTCAGATACTGGGAGTTCATGCTTCGGTAGAGACGGCGGTACTGTAAGTTTACCAGAAAGCTGCCGGGAACATACGCGCAGGCCCCAGGAAGACCAGGTAGGGGCGAAAAGTAGTCAACAGATCAGACCTTATCTCCTATCTCCAAGCTCCAACCCAGAAAGCAGACAGCTGGGTTCCACTCCTCTTTTTGGGGGGCCACCTCTCTAGGACTGACCTGGATGATGGGCTGGGATTCAGAGAGCCTCAACTCATCCCCATTTAGAAATGTACAGGGATGCCAGGTGCGGTGGCTCACACCTGTAATCCCAGCACTTTGGGAGACCGAGGTGAGTGGATCACGAGGCCAGGAGTTCGAGACCAGCCTGACCAACATGGTGAAAACCCATCTCTACTAAAAAAAAATACAAAAATTAGCCAGGCATGGTGGTGCATGCCTGTAATCCCAGCTACTCAGAAGGCTAAGGCAGGGAGGCGGGAGGCAGAGGTTGCAGTGAGCAAGATTGCACCACTGCACTCCAGCCTGGGCAACAGAGTAAGTTACTCCATCTCAAAAAAACAAAAAAACAAAAAAACACCTACAGGGACACGTTTTGGTTGTTACAGGGACTGGGATGCATCTGGCATTTAGTGTCTAGGGGCCAGCAGGTGTGAGAGTCACAACATATAACAAGGTAGAGTGTGAGCACTGAACAATCAAAATGGACCTGAGCAGCCCCAGATAGGCCCAGTGTCACCCTTTTACTTGCGGTGGTGGGGGGCTCACAGGAGATTGGACATGGAAGTAATAGTTTGTTGTTGTTGTTGTTTGAGATGGAGTTTCACTCTTGTTGCCCAGGCTGGAGTGCAGTAGCATGATCTTGGCTCACTGCGACCTCCACCTCCCGGGTTCAAGTGATTCTCCTCCCTCAGCCCCCTGAATAGCTAGGATTACAGGCACCCACCACCACACCTGACTAATTGTGTATTTTTAGTAGAGATGGGGTTTTACCATGTTGGCCAGGCTGGTCTCGAACTCCTAACCTCAGGTGATCCGCCCACCTCAGCCTCCCAGAGTGCTGGGATAACAGGCATGAGCCACTGCGCCAGGTCAGAAGTAATAGTTATTAACCAATGTGGTGGCTGGGTGGGTAATCTCAGCACTTTGGGAGGCCAAGGAGGGAGGATTGCTTGAGACCAAGAGTTCAAGACCAACCTGGACGACATAGTGAGACCCTGTCTCTACAAAAAATTTTTTAAAAACTTAGCCCAGAATGGTGGCATGTGCCTGTAGACCCAGCTACTCAGGAGACTAAGGTCGGAGGATCGCTTGAGCTAGGAGGTTGAGGCTGTAGTGAACTGTGAAACAACAACCAATGTGGCTACGTAATGAATTGGGGCTGGGCGGGGTGGCTCAAGCCTGTAATGCCAGTACTTTGGGAGGCTGAGGTGGGTGGATCACTTGAGCCCCAGAGTCGAAACCAGCCTGGGCAATATGGTAAAACACCATCTCTACAAAAAAATACAAACATAAGCCGGGGGTGGTGGTGTGCGTCTGTAGTCCCAGCTACGGGGGAGGTGGGAGGATTGCTTGAGCCCACGAGTTCGAGGCTGCAGTGAGCTGTGATCACGCCACTGCACTCCAGCCTAGGTGACAGAGTGAGTGAGACCTTGTCTCAAACAAAAACATTTAACATTTAAAAAAGAAAAAAGAATTGGCTGTCAATCCACTGAGGGGTCAGGGATGGATGTTAAACATCCTGTACAGCTCATCTCATCAAGAAACCCTACACAGAAGATCCCTAGGAACCTGCTGGTGCCCACAAGCCCCAGCAACCCACCACCCCCAGTCACAGGTGGCCACAGAGCCTCACTTGCACATGTCCCATTGCGGCAGCTGTTCCGGGATGTGGAGGGCCTTCCGCACGTACGGGTTGTTGAGGTAGGTGGAAGCAGCTGTCGTGTTGGTGCAGGGGGGGTCCATGCGCACTTTGTCCCCTGAGCGCAGCAATGCCTGGAGGGCACACACAGAGGGTCAGGGCCTCTGCTTCCCTGCCCCTGCCCCCGTCCCCACCTCACCAGGAGGAAGCCCACGCCCTTGCACACCTGATGCCACGTCCGCTTGAGTGGCAGGCGAGTGAAGATGTTGCCCAAATCCTGGACCACAACAGTGTCCTTCTCATACCTGCATGTGAGGTGGGGGGATGGGTGGAGCCTCCAGATGGGGCTGGGGTTGGCCCCAGGGGCACCCAGCAGCACCTACCTAAAATGGCTGGGCACCCCTCCAGCACAAGGGGCATAGAGGTTGTAGATGTTGAGGCCAGAGTTGCCCACGATGCGGGCCACTTCCTGAAGCTGCAATGATACACCGAGCCACCATGCTTTACAGATCCCTAGCCTCTCCACAACCCCACCAAGTTGTCCCAAGATTTATTGCTCTTGAATTTCACCTCTTCACCCACTTTTTTTTCACAGGTAGGGAAACTGAGGCTCAGTGGCAGGAATCTTCCCAGCCCTAGGTCCAAATCCTAGCATCACTGCCTCCCAACACTGACTTCAGACAGTGATTTCAAAATTCATGGCCCTCAGGTTTCCTTATCTGGAAAATGTGGGTAGTACGATCTCATTTGAGGAGGAATCTTGAAGCTTAAGTAATCTACATAGACACAGTTCAGCACAGTGCCCGCCACACTGCAGGTGTTTGATAAATGTGAAGAAGTCCTTTCTCCCTCACACAGGTTATGGGATTTGCCACCATAGGAGGTGGTGGTGGGAATACACACTTAGACACATGTCCCAGAGAACACTATTGCTTAAAGGTGCAAGAAGGCAATAAGGGATGGAGAACAAGGAGTCCCCAAGGAGGGAATGTGGTCCCATTCTTGGGATTAGGGATGGGAGGGCTGATGCAGAGTGACGGCAGAACCTCACATTGGTCACGCATTCCGGGTCTTTGTTGTCATAGAAGTTACACTTGTTTTGAGAGCAGCAGTGGGTCTGGAGAGAAGACCAAAGCCTGTAGGAGATGAGAGTGAAAAGTGCATCAGCCTCTGGTGGGAAGAGGAGGGCAGAGGAGGCGAGCATACCCCCACCTCCCACCAACCTCCCTGACCCTAGGAGACTAGGAAAGGTATCACAGGGTATGGTCTGCACGTCACCTAAGCTAGCTCCCAAAGAGGTGCCCCAGGGTCATACAGACAGGCCTCCTTAGTTCCTTTAAAATCTGATCTCTGGCTGGGCGCCGTGGCTCACGCCTGTAATCCCAGCACTTTGGGAAGCCAAGGCGGGCAGATCATTTGAGGCCAGGAGTTCGCGTCTAGCCTGGCCAACAGCAAAATGCCATCTGTACTAAAAATACAAAAAAATTAAGCAGGTGTGGTGGTACGTGCCTGTAGTCCCAGCTGCTTGGGATGCTGAGGCACAAGAATTGCTTGAACCTGGGAGGTGGAGGTTACAGTGAGCTAAGATCGCGCCACTGCACTCTAGCCTGGATGACAAAGTGAGACTCTGTCTCAAAAAAAAAAAAAGAAAAAAAAGAAAAATCTGATCTCTATTCTTTGGCCTTTCAGCACTGTGTTCTTTCTGCAACCCACCCGCTGCTCATAAACCTGGGCTGGGCCTGTCATATCATGTGCCTGGAGGACAGACTCGAGATCATGTGACCCTAGAGATTGCCCAATTGCCCTATCCCATACCTGTTCCCCAGAAGGCCATGGTAGTAGGCAAAGTAGACCAGGGAGTTGTCATTCTGCTCATAGGAGGAGAGTCCATTGCCCACAGCCAGCCCCTGTGAAACACCCAGGGTGCTCAGCTCATGTGGAGGGCGAAGAGGAGGAGCCTCCCTCACCCTAACACCCAGACCTTCAGCAATCCGGAAGCTGAAACCCAGGGTGGTTTATGGGGGCGGTTGGGTGTGGAAAGTCACTCAATGCAAAGCACAGAGCTGGCAGCCTGACAGATGAGTTTCCTGTTGTGGGAGGCACACTAGACAGACCTAGGGCAGCTGGTGGTGGGGAGGGTATGCAGGGAGCTGGGTTGGATGGGGCTGTTGACCAGTCTGACCTTGCTAACTGCAAGGCCACAGCCTCAAGGTGCCTCCCTTCCCTCCTGCAGCTGCCCTGCACCTGAAGGTTCATGCTGGGGTCCTGCATGACCAGCACGGCCAGGGTGGGGATGTAGATGCCAGCATAGCTCTCCCCGGTCAGGAAAAGTTTGTTGTTCTTATACTCCGGAAAGAGGTGGAAGAAATCTTGAAGGGCCTCAAAATTGCTCTGGGCGACCTGGGGATGGGGGAGCAAGACAGAGGGAATCAGGAAGCTTTGGTATTTGAACTGGAAAGAACTTCAGAGATAATGACATCAACCCACCCTGTCTGTGTAAGAGGAAGTGACTGGCCACCATACCACAAGCATATGACAGAGCGAAAAGTGGACTCCAAGGCCGTGCTCTCTCTCCCAGCATCATGCCATGGATGGAGGACTGGGGAGCCTGGGGCAGATGGGCAGGCACCAGACTCACCTCAGTGTCATTAGTTGCATAAAACTTGTCATCAGAGTAGGAGAAGCCCACCCCAGCTGGGGACTCCAGGTATAACACATTAGCAATCTAGAAGGGAGGGAAAAATTAGTCAACTGCCACTCCATCCAAGTGCCCAGACACCCCCACAGGACCCACAGCTCCAGCTATACCAGATTCCAAGAATAGGGGTTGTACTCCAGGGTGACACCATCTGGCTGGACCTGAGGAGGAAAGAGATGGCTGAGTAAGTCCCAAGGGCCAGCTGGGTGGAAGGAAAGGGCCACCGTGAGAGGCACTTTACGTGTGGGCAAAACCCCTGAGAGGTACAAGCAGCAAAGCCAATGGCATAGAGGAAAATCCCAAGACTTAGAAGGAAGGAAACTTTCTGGTAAATCACAAAGTCCGTTTCTCCCTTTCCCCAGCCTTTTGCTTTAGGAACTGTGCTTTACCCCTGCTGTCCACTCACCAGGAAGGGGCCATGCTCTGTGAGGAGCCCATCTAGGGAGCTGCAGCCGGGACCCCCATTGAGCCAAAGCACCACAGGGCTGTTCTCGGGATCCTTCTGGGACTCCACAAACCTGGGAAGGGGTGTCAGGGCAGTGTTGGTGCAGTTGCAGGGGTCCTTTCCAGCCCTCCCGGCTCCCAGGCGTCCTCAGGGGTCTGCAGAACTACCCCCCACCCCTCATCCGTCATCTCTCCTCCCAGTCCCGCCCGGGAGGCAGGGCGGCAGACCAGTAGTGGAGGTGCTTGGAGCCGGAGCCTTTGAGGTAGCCGGAGTACTGGCGGAAGGACGGCTGCTTGGCCAGCCCGGGGAGGCGCTGGATCTCGTCCTGGTCCGGGGCTGCCTCGCCTCGGGGCGCCCAGGACACTAGCAGCAGCAGCAGGAACAGCAGCGGCGGCGCGGCTCGGATCATCTACGGGAGGCAGAAGAGGGGCTGTTGCCTCGCTCCTCAGCGCTTCCGTGAAGCAGCACCCGGGGAGGAGCTGGCGGCGCCTCCGCGAGGGAAGCCCCGGCCCCAGCGCCAGCTCCCACCCTCAAGCTTCCTCTACCGCGCACCGATCCCGGGCTCGGGGATCCCCTCCAGCCTCCGGTGCCAGCTCACCTCTGCTCCCCCGTGTCCTTGCTCTCCAGGAGGCGCCCGGGGACTGGAAGTCATGTGTACTCCGAGTCACGTGAACTCCGGCGCCACGTGACAGTCTTCCTCCCGCCCCTTCTTTGGTCCCTACCGGCCTGGGGGGCGGTGGCGGTCAATGCCAGGTCAAGGTCCGTGGGCCTCGCGGATCGTAGCCCGGGCGCACGTGATCAGATGATCCGGGTGTGGATGGCCAAGTTCTAGGAGGGATGGCTGAGCAAGCGGCGCTAGGACCCCCGGGCAGAGGCTCGGGGAAGGGAGGCAGGGGGGAAATGCCTTACAAGGTCCCCTTGCGGTCACCATCTGAGCCCGCCGCCCAAAATAGCCCCCGGCGCCCGCCAGCCTGCCTTATGGCCGAGAGATGGCTGCTGCCTCCGAGCCCGTGGATTCGGGTGCACTCTGGGGACCTGCGCGCCCGGAGCCCCCTCCCACCCGCTTCCATTGGGTGCACGGTGACAACATCCGCGTGGACCCCTCTGGGACGCGGGCCACACGCGTGGAGAGCTTCGCCCACGGCGTGTGCTTCAGCCGTGAGCCCCTGGCCCCGGGCCAGGTCTTCCTGGTCGAGATCGAAGAGAAAGAGCTGGGCTGGTGCGGACATCTGCGTCTCGGTCTGACGGCGCTGGACCCCGCCAGTCTGGCCCCCGTTCCCGAGTTTTCTCTGCCCGACCTAGTCAACCTGGGCCACACCTGGGTCTTCGCCATCACGCGCCACCACAACCGCGTGCCCCGGGAGGGCCGCCCGGAGGCCGAGGCAGCGGCCCCCAGCCGACCTCCAACCCTCCTGGTGGAACCATATCTGCGCATTGAGCAGTTTCGCATTCCCCGGGACCGCCTGGTGGGCCGCAGTCGGCCAGGGCTCTACAGCCATCTCTTGGACCAGCTCTATGAGCTGAACGTGCTGCCTCCGACGGCGCGCCGTAGCCGCCTGGGCGTCCTCTTCTGCCCGCGCCCCGATGGCACGGCCGACATGCACATCATCATCAACGGCGAGGACATGGGCCCCAGCGCCCGGGGGCTGCCAGCTGCGCAGCCCCTCTACGCGGTGGTGGACGTGTTTGCTTCCACCAAGAGCGTGCGCCTTGTCCAGCTCGAGTATGGCTGTAGGTATCCCTGGGCAGCGACCCCTCCTGGCGCAATGTGGGGACAGGAATCTGCTAGGGCTCGTAACCAGTGTGCTAGGCCTCCGTCTGTCCAGCACTAGTTTAAGAGTGGGAGAATCTAGCTTCAAATTACACCTCTGCTTGTGATCTTGCACAAGCCTCTACCTGGTTTTGGGCCTTGGTACCCATCTTGGCTGATGGATTAAGATGCCCTACAAGTTCGCTTTTAGTTTTGAGAATGTTTCCTGTATTCACCTAGGGCAGGGATTCTAAACTGATTTTAGATATTAGGGGCCTCTTTGAGAATTGTTTGCCCTTTTCTTAGAAACATGCTTGGTCGGCCGGGCGCGGTGGCTCAAGCCTGTAATCCCAGCACTTTGGGAGGTCGAGACGGGCGAATCACGAGTTCAGGAGATCGAGACCATCCTGGCTAACACGGTGAAACCCCGTCTCTACTAAAATACAAAAAAAAATTAGCCGGGCGAGGGGGAGGGCGCCTGTACTCCCAGCTACTCGGGAGGCTGAGGCAGGAGAATGGCGTGAACCCGGGAGGCGGGGCTTGCAGTGAGCTGAGATCCGGCCACTGCACTCCAGCCTGGGCAACAGAGCCAGACTCCGTCTCAAAAAAAAAAAAAAGAAACATGCTTGGCCGGGCATGGTGCCTCACACCTGTAATCCCAGCACTTTGGGAGGCCGAGGCAGGCGGATCATTTGAGGCCAGGAGTTTGAGACCAGCCTGGCCAACATGGTGAAAGTCTGTCTCTACTAAAAATACAAAAATTAGCTGGGTGTGGTGGCATGTGCCTATAATCCCAGCTATTTGGGAGGCTGAGGCAGAGAATCACTTGGACCTGAGAGGTGGAGGTTGCAATGAGCCGAGATCTCACCAGTGCACTCCAGCCTAGGCAACAGAGTGAGACTCTGAAAAAGAAAAAAAAAAAAGAAAGAAAGAAAGGAAGAGAGAGAGAGAGAAGGCAGGCAGGCAAGGAAGGGAAGGGGAGGGGAGGGGAGGGGAGGGAAGCGAAGCTCAAGCCTGGGCAACAAAGTGAGACCCCTTCTGTACAAAAAATTAAATAATTATCTGGGCATGGTGGTGCATGCCTGTAGTCCCAGCTATTTGGGAGGCTAAAGCAGGAGGATCGCTTGAGCCCAAGAATTGAAGGCTGCACTTCACTGACCACTGCACTTCAGCCTGGGTGACAGAGCAAGACCCTCTCTCTTTAAATAAAAAAAAAGAAAGAAACACGCTTATAGACTTGGGCATATTGGCTTCGAGGAAAAACAAACCCCAGACTGAGAGCTTTTTAATGCTGAGGTATGATTCATTATACCCCTGGTAAGCATTGTAGTTATACCTCTGATCACATTTCATGAATTCAGTGCACCAGAACCCTCTTTGTGCCAGGCCTGTACTGGAGGCTGCAGTTGCACAGGCAAATCAGACACTACTCCTGCCCCCAGAAGCTGCTAAGTGAACGGGGAAGGGATTGTGCTGTTATGATATAAACAGGGTTGCAGCTTTGTGATAGCCGTTGGGAAGAGGTGCTTCTCTCAGCCCCATAAACAGCTCCATGAAGCAGGCTGGGCCCAGAGAGCAGTAAGGACTTGCCCACATTTAATGGCAAAGTGGGGACCATGACCTAGATCTTCTGGGTCTTGGCCTCAGACCCACCCTCCAGTTGTTTGCCTTTCACAGTCTTCTTCCCACAGTGCCGTCCCTGCAGACTCTGTGCCGCCTAGTGATACAGAGAAGCATGGTGCACCGGCTGGCCATTGATGGGCTCCACCTGCCCAAAGAACTTAAGGATTTCTGCAAGTATGAGTGAAGACCCGCAGCGCACTGGAGCAGAGCTGCATCCTGGGGCCTCAGACCTGTGGCTGGCTGGTCTGAAGTTGGCCATATTGCTGCCAACCAGGACCAGAAATAAACAGCCAATGCTGACATCTTGATCATTGGAAGGTCTCCTTGCCCTCCAGCCTAGGAGAGGCACTTTGTTTAGAATCACTGCAGGTCAGCAGGTCGGAGCAAGAGAGCAGGGGTTCCTAGGCTGGCTGCTTGTTAGAGTCATCTTAGGATACGTAAAGAGTGCTGGTGTCCCACATCCCATCCCTAGGGATTTGTATTTGATTTGTTGGGAAATTAGGCCTAGACATTGTTTTTTGTAAAAGCTTCTCAAGAGATTCTCATGTACAGCCAGGGTTGAGAAGTATGTCCCTAGAATAGAGGTTCCAACTTTGTCATATATTATAATCACTTGAGGAACTTTGAAAAATACCAATACCTGGCCTGTAATCCCAGCACTTTGGGAGGCCGAGGCGGGCGGATCACTTGAGGTCAGGAGTTTGAGACCAGCCTGGCCAACATGGTGAAACCCTGTCTCTACTAAAAATACAAAAGTTAGCCAGGCATGGTGGCGGGTGCCTGTAGTCCCAGCTACTTGAGAGGCTGAGGTAGGAAAATCACATGAACCCAGGAGGCAGAGGTTGCAGTGAGCTGAGGTCTTGCCATTGCACTCCAGCCTTCCAGCCATGGTGACAAAGTGAGACTCCATCTCAAAAAAAAGAAAAAGAAAAATACTAATACTGGGTCTGACCCCAAGTCTTACTCTACAAGGCACAAAGCACTTGGCTCCTGTATTTCCATCTCTGGTCATTTGCTTCTATACAAATGACCTCATTTCATCCTCAAAACTTCTAATGAGATAGTGGGCAGTCATCAGACCCACTTTACATATAAGGGTATCAAGGAACAAAACTGTCCGGGTGACTCATCCAAGGTTAGAGCAAGAACCTAGAACACCCAGCTCCTGGTCTGGTGCTCTTTTAACCTCATCCTATTGTCATGTTCAGGTTCTAGAATGAATAGGTCAATGCTGTAAGGTGGGTTCCAAGTGTAAAGAGGAGGGTCTATGAGGTGACGTTCTAGAAGGGCGAAGAAGGGAGGATAGGAGGCAGATTACTATTCCCTCACAAACCGGGGCTCGGGGGAAGCCATGTCCTACTTCAGGACTCCACAAACTCATCCAGGTCCTCTGCCTTCTGGCCAAGGTGAGCAGGGGGCACCTGCAATTGGAGGGAGCGCTGCAGCTTCCCCTGAGAAGTTGCTTTCTGGCTCTGGGGAGGTGGTGCTTCTGCTGGGCATTTGGGGGCTGGCCCTAGAATCAATTCTTTTAGAAGAAAAGCTATTCCAAATGTCCTTGCCAATCAATAACTACCTGCTTGCTCACTGTTCATTAATTCAACAAACACTTCTCCATCACCTACTCTGTGTTGGGGACTGGGAGTATGGATATGAGTAACACCTAGTTCCCAACCTCTAGACAGTCCGCTGGGGCTGGTCTTTGTTACTCCCCCAAGCTCTGCTCCCATGCCCTGCCCCTCGGGGGCCCCTCCTCAAAGAGACCGAGAATAACGTTCCATTTCATTCCTGTCTCTGCAGGTGGGACTGCTTCTCCAGGCCTGTCCCTTGGCCTCTGTAGTCCTATAGAGCCAGTGGTGGTGGCCTCTGGTGGAACAGGCCCACTGAGCCAGAAAGCTGAGCAGGTGGCACCTGCTGCCCAGGCCTGGGGCCCAGCCCTGGCAATGCCACAAGCCAGGGGCTGCCCTGGGGGGACTAGCTGGGAGACACTACGGAAGGAATACAGCCGAAACTGCCACAAATTCCCGCATGTGAGGCAGCCGGAGAGCTTGGGCTGGGACAATGGCTACTCCAGAAGCAGAGCCCCCAACCTGGGTGGCCCCAGCAGGCCTAGGCCCCTGATGCTGTGTGGGCTGTCACCAAGGGTTCTACCGGTACCCTCTGAGGCAGTGGGGAAGGAGGCCAGCTCCCAGCCTGACATCTGCATCCTCACCCTCGCTATGATGATCGCTGGCATCCCCACCGTGCCCGTCCCAGGCGTTCGGGAAGAGGACCTGATCTGGGCTGCTCAAGCTTTCATGATGGCCCATCCGGAGCCAGAGGGTGCTGTGGAGGGGGCGCGGTGGGAGCAGGCGCATGCCCACACAGCCTCTGGGAAGACGCCGCTAGTGAGATCTAAGAGGGGCCAGCCTTCTGGCTCCTGCTTGTAGATGGATGAAATAGCACCAGATACGTAGGGTGGCTTCTCTGTATGGTTCTTGGGCAGACAGGGTTGGGAGGAGGGCCTATGGCAGGGATGGGAATAGAGCTGGTGGTTGAGCCATTCTGACAAATTCCAGTCCTTCATCAGGGACTTCCAGACCCTAAAGTTTCTCCAGATACCACTAAGACAGGAGATAGGTTTTGTCAGGTATATACAATGGAAATTATGTGAGGTAGGGGCCCCTGCTTGGAGAGTTGAGGCTGCTTTTATGTTTTGAAGACTTGATCAGATTTTTTTTTTTTTTTTTGAGATAGGGTCTTACTCTGTCACCCATGCTGGAGTGCAGTGGCATGATCACAGCTCACTGCAGCCTCAACCTCCTGGGCACAAGTGATCTTCCCACCTCAGCCTTCCTGAGTAGCTGGGACTACAGGCACGTGCTACATCCAGCAAATTTTTGTATTTATTGTAGAGAAGGGGTTTTGCCATGCTGCCCAGGCTGCTCTAATCTGCCTGTTTTGGCCTCCCAAGGTGTTGGGATTATAGGCGTGAGCCACCGTACCTGGCCTACCCAGAATTTCTTCTTTTTTTTTATTTTTTATTTTTTAGACACAGCCTTGCTCTGTCACCCAGGCTGGAGTGCAATGGTGCGATCTCGGCTCACTGCAACCTCCGCCTCCCAGGTTCATGCGATTCTCCTGCCTCAGCTTCTCGAGTAGCTGGGATTACAGGTGCCTGCCACTACGCCCGGCTAATTTTTGTATTTTTAGTAGAGACACAGTTTCACCATGTTGGTCAGGCTGATCTCAAACTCCCAACCTCAGGTGTTCCGCCCGCCTTGGCCTCTCAAAGTGCTGGGATTACAGGTGTGAGCCGCCACGCCTGACCAGAATTTCTTATATTAAGTCCTAGTCATGTGAATTCTCCTCTTGCCTTAAATTTTCCAGCATGTTGAAGGCAGATCATAGGACCATAGGCAAGGAAGGAAAATTAATACTTAATTGAGCACCCACTAGGTATGCCTGCTCTGTAAACGTACCCTGTGGAAATCCCCATTTTTACAGACAATCAGGTTGAGGTTTAGAGGGGTAACTTACCCTAATAAGACTCACGGCTAGTAAAAGGCAGAACCAGGCACAAAAATCAAGCAGGGAAGGAATCAACCAGGATTCACATGTTGTATAACACTCTAAAGTCTATTCTTTCCATGATATACCCTAAACTGCCTTCTATGGAACAAAAAAAAACTAGACAAGTGATAGAATATGCAGCATTCAGTTTTATTGACCCCAGGATAGGACAAGGAAAGAAGTTCAGGGAGCCTGGCTGAGCCAGCTCCCCAGAGGGGCCTCTTCCCCTGTAGGAAGCCTCCCAGCCCAGTTCACTCAAAGGAGATGGGTTAAGTGAGTCATCTCATGACTAGGGCAATTGCTACCACGCCCCAAACCTCAACCTGATGTTTAATCTCTTATCTTAGACCAGGGGTTGCCATTATTTTATTTTTAGATGGAGTCTCTCCCTCCCAGGCTAGAGTGCAGTGGCAGCAGGATCTTGGCCTACTGCAACCTCTACCTCCCGGGTTCAAGCGATTCTCCTGCCTCCGTCTCCTGAGTAGCTGGGATTATAGGTGCCCGCCACCATGCCTGGCTAATTTTTGTATTTTTAGTAGAGACGGGGTTTTACTATGTTGGCCAGGCTGGTCTTGAACTCCTGACCTCAAGGGATCTGTCCACCTCAGCCTCCCAAAGTGCTGGGATTACAGGCGTGAGCCACCACGCCGAGCTGGATTGCCTGTTTTTATAAGACCTTTGAGCTAAGAATGTTTTTTACCTTATGAAAATGTTAAAACAAAACCAAGAATATACAATAGAGACTGTATGTGGCCACCTGAGTAAACTAAACAGATAAGATCTGCTGACTCCTGTCTCATTGAGCTAGACACATGCTAGGTAGCAGGCCATGGTAGATGAGAAGACCTTTGAACCTTGTCCTTATTCTAGAAGGAGGGCCCACGGAAATACAACAGTATAAGTGAGAGAGTGAGAGAGAGAGAGAGAGAGAGAGAGAGTGTGTATGTGTGTGTGTGTGTGTGTGTACAGGTGGATGTGAGTGTGCAGTGTGCACAGGTGCATGAGCATCTCTGGGCATTGAGAATAATCAGAGTTGAACCTGCTCATAAGGCCCAATCCAGCTGTCAGCCAGTTCCCGCAGGGTGCTGTACCTCCGCTCAAACTCCTCCTTGCTGCAGTGCTGCAACAGCTGACCCACCTCCTCAGTGAGGTGAGTCACTGCCAGGTGCTTATCCAGGGTCTCACTCCACTTGCTGCCCAGGATGCTGTCTAGACTGGTGGCACAGCCTGCCGTCCACTGAGCCGGCAGCATGTCGGGCTGGAGCACCTGGCGGCGGGCGCTGAGCATGGCTAGGATGTGACGGCAGGGCAGGTGGAAGGCCTGGTTAAAGTAGCAGCTGCAGCTGGCAGGGGGCTGGGGCTGCACCTTGTGGGTATCTTCCAGGATCTGTATGTTCATCTTTTCTGAGCCAGAGCCAATGAGGTGTGTGGATTTCTGGACCACAGCAAGCTCGCCCAGGCAGAGTTGGGCTGCTGGCCCTGTGCAGATGGCATTAAGGGAGTGCTGGATATGGGATTCTACCAGCTGCTCCACTTTGGGGCTTTCGGGGATGGTGTCTGAGGGGGCATGATTGTTCTGGGCACACAGGCCCTGGTTGAAGTTTGCCATGTCTGCAGAGTTCTGCTGCATGTAACGGAACAGAGAAGCCATACCTTGTTTCTCAGATGGGGTGGTGCCAAAGAACTGGCTGAGGATGCGGGTGGTGACCTCGAGGCTCTGGAAGTAGCGGCTGCTCTCAGCTCGGCTTCTCCAGCGGTGAGCCAGCCAGATGCGGTCGTTGAGCAGCCAGTGTGAGTGAAGCTCGGGCAGCTTGGCTGGGGGGATGCAGTTGCTCAGAAGTGTGTACAACTTTCTCAGGTTGCCTGCTGTGGCTGAGCACATTGTGCTCTGCAGGGAGGTCAGGAGCAGCCTTTCCATGGGTCGTTCAAGGGACAGCTGATAGAACTTGGCCTGGAGGAACTTACAAATGTGGAAGGCTGAGAGCAGGACCTCAGCTGCGGGGAACTCCATGGCTAGGGTGGGCAGTGGAAGGAAATGGGGATCCACCAGGATGGTACAGACTCTCTCCCATGCTGGGTTAAACTTCTTGAATACCTGAAACATCTGGGCCAGGCCTTCAGTGTCCTCCTTGGCAGGGATGGCAAAGTAGACTGCTCGGGCAAGATGACCCTCCAGCTGCACCCGAGGTCCATCCACCAGGAAGGTATATAAGACCTTACCCCTTGGGTTATAGGTCCGGTGGATAAATAAGATCTCAGGGAAATGGTCAAAGATACTCTGCATAAAGCAGCTCTGGTAGTTGAAGGTATCTAACTGGGCAGTCTTATTAACCTGGTGCAGCAGCATAGGTGGGCTTGAGTCCTTAATCAGGAGCCCATTCAGCATTGTCAGGGCCATGGGGGAGATGGGAGATGTCCAAATGCCAAGGTCAAAATACTTTCTTTGCAGGGCAGCTGTCCATGAGGCTTTGAGTCTCTTAAGCTTCAAGTAAGTTGAGGCTTGAGGCTAGACAATCATTCCCAGATCTTTTTCCAAAGACGGGCCTATGGAGAGGAACAGAGGTTTAAGGAGACAGGAGGCACCTGGCTCTTCAATTATTCATCCACACAATATTTGTTGAACACTTACTATATGTCAGCACTGTTCTAGGGGAAGATACATAATAAACATGTGAATAAACATGTGAACAAATAAGCAAAAATATATCCAATAATGAAGCTTACAAGGACCATAAACCTGAGTAACATGTCAGAGAGTAAGCTGGGGAAGGGAGGGATACTTTAGTTAAAGTGCTAATGGAAGGCCTCTCAGGGGAGAAGGATGATATTGGAGCTGAGATCTAAATGATAAGAAGCTAGCTATGGAAAGATATGGTTACAGGGGATTTAAATAGGTACGGCCAGAGCTGCATATGGCCTTTTAAAAAAAATAGCATTCTGGCCAGGTGCAGTAGCTCATGCCTGTAATCTCAGCACTCTGGGAGGCCAAGGTGGGCAGATAACTTGAGGTTGGGAGTTCGAGACCAGCCTGGCCAACATGGTGAAACCCTGTCTCTACTAAAAATACAAAAAGAATTAGCCGGGCATGCTGGCCCATGCCTGTAGTCTCAGCTACTCGGGAGGCTGAGGCAGGAGACTCGCTTGAACCCAGGAGGCCGAGGTTGCGCCACTGCACTCCAGCTCTGGGTGACGGAGTGAAACTCCGTCTCAAAAAATAAAATAAAATAAAAATATGATTTTATATTTATAAATGACTGATCGGCATCCATTCTTTCCTTTGGTCCTGGTATGCATAAGACTTGAACTGCAATTGCTCCAAACTTGCTGTGTGATCTTGGGCAAGTCAGTGACCCTCTCTGAGCCTCAATCCCTTCCACCATAAAATATGGCTAATAAATGTACATAGCTTCTCCTGCCTCTACTATATCCCTCTTTTAGCAGCAATGGTCTATTCCAGCGTTTCCTCTATTTGGCCCCAGACCGAGTTACCGTCCTCATTTTACAGATGATAAACTAAAGCTCAAAGAAGCTAAATGACTTGCCCACCATTACTCTGTAAGTAGCTGAAAGCTGAGTCTTTGGTTCCGGATCCTGACCGCTGTCCGCAGTACCTGGGTCCAAAAACCAATAGAGAGGGAATACGGCCTTTGACCTCTCACCTCTAACCTGGGTGGGAGATGTGGATGTCTGACGTTCCGAGTCCGGCTGGAGCCGGATGAGAAGAAAACCTCCCTCACACCCCTTTGGGAGCTGTATGACGGCTGACTGCAGTGATCCACTGTCTCACACTTCCACCCCTTCAGGAATCACTCACCCACAGCCTGGCTCCGTCGCCATTTCTCCCTATTTGACCCTTCCTCCGACTCTGACTGACATCCAAACTCACCAACCACGGTGTCAGCATCGCA